CAGGAAATTCCAATCAGGCTTGTTTCTCCGTTCATAGGCTCTGAACTTCTTGGAACATCCTTGAACTTTAGCTTAGCATTCACGGATGGGTTGCCCTTGGATGGTTGTTGCCAGACTTTCTCAGGTGACCACGGCTTACACGCTGCTGGCTTGTATCTGCATCGTCTTCCCTTTCAGCATCAACAACTTCCGAGTGAGATGGCGCTCCGGGATTGCTTTGGTTTTAGGAATCAGGTGTAAGGCCTCTATGAATAAGCGGTCTTGTCCTTCGGGAGCATGGGAGGTACAGCGTCTTCAAGATCACCCATTTCTTGGCGCCGGTCATCGTGATCGTAGCCAACCTGTACATCGGATGCTCTTCAGGTCTTTTTTCCACTTTTTTCAGTATTATCAGGGACAGAAGAAGAAGACAGAGGCATGATCCCTCCAACGAACCAGGCACATTATGTCGCTCAATGTGGATGGTTTGCTTTGCCGTGGCTTTTGGGGTGCCATGATTTGGATTGCCTCGGCCGCCATTTTCTGGATCGGGGACTTCCTGCACCTTGGCCCCACATGCTCAAAAGCGGATCTGCTTGTAGGCAAGTTTCAGCATCCACGTGATGATGGGGTGCTGATGTCGATTTAAAGAATCGAAGGTATAGCCGCTACGATGTGCTGATGGTTCCCACCAGAGTGGTTGGCACCCCACGTTTGCTACCCTCTGACGGAGGGCCTGCACACATTGCCGTGAAGCTGCGCAAGAAGACGACGCTGTTTCCTGGGGCCTGGTTGCTTGGGCCAGAGTATGGCAGAGTTCTAGGTTCTGTTGTCGATAGCAAAGTTCCCTTCTAGTCTCGCCGTTTCGTGTCATCCTTCCCTACGATTGCCACCATTGAGCCATTGCGTACCATGTCTGGCATATCCGAACGGCCTAATCTAGGCCTGTAGGGCTTCTATGAGTTCAGGGTGCCCGAAATAGCCCTAAGAATTGCCCTTCGCCCTAGAACTCCTACAGCAATACCCTACAGCTTCAACCCGAGGCTCTCAGTGGCCTCTTTGGATGCGGGCTCCGCACTTAGCCATCCCTTCACCGCCATCGTGCGGAAGTGTGGTGGCGTGGACAAGGAGTACGCCGAGGTGGGACTACAGCATGGTGTGGCACAGTGGTTTCATACTGGTTTCATACTGTGTGCACTCGCTCTCTCTCTCTCTCTCTCTCTCTCTTTCCCTCTCCTCTCTCTCTCTCGCTGTCTGTCTCTCTTTTTTTTTGGGGGAGGGCGAGGGAACGGGGGCTGGCCTAGCGGAACTGGGGGGGATGTAGGCCGTACGTGCAGGATCTAGGCTTCAATGTAACGGGACCGCCGAAGGTCGAGTTCTTGTGGAAGGTGTGCCCCGGCAAGACGTGGACGCAAGCCTTGCAAGACAAGATCGCACAGGCGAGCCCAAATCGCCCCTTGACGTTCTACATGCCGCTGGACGCTTATTTTTGGCATCCTTTGTGCTCCTGTCTTTTTACGTGTGCTTGAATCACGCCGATACTGCCTCAACCCGTCCCCTAACCTTCAAAACCATATCGATACCTAGACAATTCCCGAATTCCCCATTGAAACATCAGGTCGGGCCCCTATGGGGGAGGATTGGGCTGCCTGGAGGCCAGGCCCTCCTGTTGTTCCAGGGCGTATTTTCAGGGCTTAGCTCAAAGGTTTCAGGGTTTTGCAGTCTTGTGGCGCGTTGGAGGTGGCTTTTCGGGCTTCTGCGATCAAGCTATGGGATAGTGAAGTTTAGTTCTGGATTCTATGCCATGACTCATGGCTCAGAATCTGAAGCCCTACCCAAAGTTCCCAAAGTCTTCAGGCAACTACCCGTACCTATCCAAAATGGCCATCGCGCTTCTGCAGGCCATGAGAGTTATCATCTTTGTGGTGGGCGGAGTCGGGGTTACCCCTGCTGCATCCATGGTGCCCCACCTCATCCGTGGCGGCAAGGACTTCTGCATACACATATATATATATATACACACGTTTTAGAACATTTTTCATATATACATATACGTCTGTATACATATATGGCATGCCAGATATTCTTGGTGCCAAACCCCTGGTGAAGATTTTGGTTTCCGAAATTGTTTCTAGCAAAGGCTTAAAGTCTATGAGCGACAGTCAAACTGCGGGAGCAGCATTTGTAGGAGATGGACATCAGTTTGCACTTGGGCAGCTCCTCATTTGCGAACACTAGGGTATATGTAGAAATGCTAACTCCGAAACATCGAATAACATGCGCAACTTTAGGGCTTGTTTTGAGAAGATGGGGGACACGCAGAAAACGATTAGCCTGAAAGTCCATGTCCTTCATTCCATCAAGTTGTTTTGGCCATGGCGATTGGCTATCTAGTCTGTTGCATGGAAGCACCACAAAATTTTCTTGATGATTCTATATGGCTGATTTCACTTCCTGGAAGATGCTCAGGGGAGAACACTTTGCGATGAAGGTCTTGAGGTTCATTCTCTCTCGGACAGGACGTCTACGTGATTTGGAGCTGCCGAAGTGCATCACTCATCCAGCAACTTAGCTTGGCAAATGGAAACACTCAGTAGGCATCTGAGCCTTATACTCAGCATAAAGATGCCAAGGCCAGAATGCCATGGAGAGCCCAAGCCCAAGCCCCAAACCTTCGAAAAAGGCACATCTCTGGGGAGTACTTCAACAGCGCCTGTGGAGCTTACTTTGACAGAAATCCCGACCATCGCCGTATCCACTACAGTGGCAACTCGGTCCTTGGAGTCGGTACAGTCTGGCAGTGCATTTGCAACTGGCGCACACACACACACACACCCATACATGCTGGCATGCATACCCACTTCCGGGGACCCCAAAGCCCAGAGAACAAAGAATACACCAACGCGAGCACCACTACTCGTAACCTTTCAATGGCTCTAAACCGGTAAAGCCTATAAACCCTAAACTGGCCCTCAAGGGGCCCTAGAAAGGGCCAACAAGTTGCCCTAAAGGGCAGCTCACAGATGCGTGCGTGCAAAGCCAGCCATACAGAAGACCAAGTGTGGGGGCTGTTTCTGTAGCTGTAGCTATTTCGACAAGCCAGAAGAACCTGTATGTGACTGTATGTGACTGTATGTGTGATGCATGCTATGAATCCGAAACCCCAACCCAATACAGTGAGGCTTGCACTTTTGGAGGGGGGCCTTTTGGCAATGCTGTCCGCATACCATAGAGTACTGCACAACTATTGATGTGATTGGTCTGCGACATGTAAAAGGGTAAAAGGTCCGTCGGGTGCGGAAGGCCTTTTGACCAAAAGTAGGCTTCTCACGCAAAAAGCCACAGGCAAGTGTATCGGACCTCCGTATTTCGCGGCTCAACAATGCAACCTATCAAGCAAGCGTAGGCGGTCTATGGACCAGATGCAGAGGCTCTGCATATATGTATATACACATATCAAGTCTCTTCATTTGTATTCAAGAATCAGACATGCACAAGCAAAACCGACTGCGATATCCCAAGACAGCTCAGGAAAGACCGCGGACGTCCTGCCTCCCTACGTTTTGAAAGGTCGTCCAAACATTCCGGAGATTGTTGGGTCTGCTGCGCAGAGCGCACTGAAGCGAGAAATTCTGGACATCGGTGTTTTCGTTTGTGGTCCCGGGGCTCTGGTTGATGACAGCCTGAAAGCAGCCAAGATGTATAGCGACCCCGGGACAGGCACGCATGTCCACGTACATGCAGAATCTTTCCAAATGTAGACTGTGTTTGTTCCGTTTTCCGGCAATATGCCGAAGAAAAACGTAATTAGTCCGCGTTTCATTTGAACGCATCATCACGTGAATCACGTCTGCACCACGTATGCGAGGTTCAGTTTCATCGTGCGATCTTATTTTGAAGCCTTGCCATTCCTTGTTCGCACACTTCCCGTAGGAGGAGGTGTCGCGACAGCCCGTGAAGGGCTTGCCGAATGCTCGGAAAAATGGGGCCAAAGCACCGGCGTAGGCCTGGGATGAAAGGCTCTAAAGGGTTGATCTGTTACGAAAGTAGCTGGGCTGCCAGCTTACAGGGTAGAGGACTTACATCCTCGAAACCCGTGTTTCGGGTAGAGGAACGCCTACATGCGCCCTCGAACTCCAGGTTTCCATGCCGAGCCAACTGCTGGAGGTCAGCTCTCCAACGCACGCCGACCTGGAGGCGGGGCTCGAAGTGTGTGGTTCAGGGTGTTTAGGTAGGGTTTATATAGTGTTTGTACTGGGTTTGTAGTAGGTTTGTTGTAGGTTTAAAGTTTCGGGATCTCATATTTGACAGGGTTTGGAGGGCCTCCTACTGGGGCTCGGCAGGGTTTGGGACCTCGGGAGTTCAGGGCTTTGAGGGATGGGAGTTGGACTTTCTCGAGCCTCGGCAAGAGGTCGTGAAGTTCAGAACCTGGACCCACAACCCCTTGAGTGTTAAGCCCCACACCACATATGTACAAAATAGAATACATGTACATTTTTGTCTTAGTATAAATATATATATATATATACATACATGCATAATGTATGTATATATCGCATATGTATGCAGACCCTATATTCCCAAAAGCCCGCGAATCCTCCCTATCGTCGCTGCAAACTCTCACGGCCCGAAGTTCATGAGCATCTGGAGGTGGCGCTGGGCATCTGCGAGGCTTGGGCCAGGGGGGTTACAGGTCTGGAAAGGCTCGGGGACCTTCCAATTTCTGCATGCCCTTGGGCAAATCCCTGATGATTGCGGGCCGTCTTGTCCCATCGAGCAGCGGCGGCAAACCCTAAGAAAAATCACTTCTAAGCTCCTACACCCTTGCCCTCAGATAGGAGCCCTCAAGCCGCCTCAACCCTGACCCTATGTAGCCTAAAGTTCCCAAAGCCATCAGAAGCAGGAGCTCGGTGGGGTTTGCGCCGCTCTCAGAAGTAGTGGTCAAGTCCCAGCCCTAAAAGCGCTCGCCAGGCACAGGTGGACTTGTCTCTCCCCACGATGCCCGACTCGGAGGTGGTACTACTCTTCCAGGCGCCAGGAAAGTGATATTCGAACAAAAGCTCTCGAAAGTGATACACTCCCCCCCCCCCTCTAAGGGCTTCTACCTCCTTTACCCAATAGTAGTAGATGGCAGGTTCTGCTTTTGCTGGTCCTCTTAGCGGTTGGGCTTTTCAGGATGTGACTGTATCTGTTGTTCTCTTTGCTTTCCCGGATTTGCTATGGCAAGAAGGGGTTCACAGTCAGCACTGAAGTGTGGTGGCAGTGAGGAGTGAGGAGAGCACAAGCACGGGGTTCAGAAAGTAAGCATGTACAAGCTCAGTGAGATTAAACATGTCTGAAAGCTGGCTCATAAGTCTCTTTGCCGCTACTTGAGCACAATCAAGGGGATGATCATAAGCTGATGTCCGTTGAGCTTTTTCTCCCGAAAAGTGCAATGATGGAATCAGCTTGGACTGCCAGCGCACTCAGCCCCAAATCTCGCGCCCTAAGCTCCTGATACCCTAAAGCCAAAAACCCCAAAGCCCCAAAAGGGGGCAAAACCCAATGAGCCTGTGAATCAACCCGGTACCCTAAGCAACTGAACTTTTGGGCCCCCAGAGCCGACGAGGTTGCCGAAGCGACGCCACCTCGTTGCTGGATAGAAGCAGACGATGAGGACGAGGACAGAGTCCAAGTCTTCCACGAATGAAGATCTCACGCTAGCGCCAAATTCTCATGACATTTGGGAGCGGGGGTGAGGGTTTGCGCCTGACCTGAGTAGTTGTATTCCCCACTTCGGGGATGTAGCATCTCTCTCTCTCTCTCTCTCTCTCTTTACATACATGCAGATGGCTCTGCATTGGTCTATGGGTGAAATGCGCCCTTCGGGGCGGCCTCCTCGTGCTACGGAAGGAAGGAAGAGAGGACGATGCTATTCGAAACTCTGGTACAAGTTCTGGCCGTAGTAAGAAGTTCCCAACGACCAAAGGTTGGTAAAAGATGCCTCCGCTGTACTTTCATAAGAGTTACTTTTTCATCCCATCTTTTTGCACCTTCGTCCGACAAAAAAAACAGAGAACGCAACGACACGGATTTTGGCATAGCAAACTCACGTGACAGGTATCTCACTTGTGCAACAACATCTGAGACCCTGAGCTCCTACTGTGGGGGAGAGGGGAAAACATAAGCCCTGAAGCTCAATCCTAAACCCTAAGCCCACCGAAAACACACCTTACACCTTCAACCCTAAAATGATTGAGAACTACCACGGCAGGCAGGGGGAGGAGGAGGAGGCACACTGTTGATGAAAAAGCGATCGTTTTCAAGGCGCAAGAACTGCCGGTACCACTGCATTCGCTTACCACGACGTCAAGAAGTCAATATCTCAACATACTGGTGGTAATATTGCAATTTTTCATTTCATGCTTGACTGCGGAGCTGATCCCTGCCGAATGCTTGAGCAAAGGCGAGTATTGATACCAACGATCGGCTATCCGGTTGCTGATGTTCATTCAGAGTGAGCGTTGATGTCGCCACCCCGCAAATTGATTCGTTCACATGTCGTTCGCGGAGACTAGCAGAGGCGCAGACTTGACTAGGACCCACACTCCCGCACACTCGCTTCCCAAATGAAGAGCATTTGCTTTAGGGAGCAGTCTCGATGGGACCGGGTGCCCGGGTGCCTGAGGACCGAGGAGTCCTATACTCGGTCCTGTATCCGGAGGACTGGAAACTGCACGCTGCCTTTGCAGGGCGCCGGTTCTTATCTTTGGCAGCATCTACTCGGTCGCATCAAATCACAGCAGCGCTAGGTGGGCTTCGGGCTTCGGGCTTCGGGCTTCGGGCTTCGGGCTACTGCAGAATCTAGGCGTGGCGGAGCCGGTTGTCCTTTTCAATCTGTCGAGTCCTCGACACCCCAACCCCACTCCAAATACTCAACCAACAAGCCCTAAGCCTTGGCCCTTTTGGAGCTTTTGGATTTGGAGTGCTAGAGTTTCCGTCTTTGAGGTAGTCGGGCTTTAGGGGTCGAGTCAACGCCAAATGCAGATCAGGGTTTTTTGCTTCTCGTTCCTCTGAGTGGGAGAGAACTGTACACCACAATCGAGTGCTCTTCTTTTGAGCAGCATCCCTACTGCTCCCCTGGACTCTGCACCCGTAGGCAACCGTCAAATCTCACGCGTCATTTTCCACGTTACCTATGCCAGGGCCCAGGCTCTTTCTTGTCAATCAAACAGCCTGCCTTCCTTACACCGGGGCAGCCTGCCACCTTAGAACCCTAAAGGAATGCTTGTCAGGAGGCTTCCCTTGAGCATCTTTGGCCCTGTCCGACAGCGCCCACCTTGCCAAAGGACAGCGGAGGTCATTCGAGCTTTTAGAGGTTGAGGGGTTTGAGGATCGAGTACTTCGGGTTCAAGGCCGGTTCAAGGCATTGGGAATGCTCATGTGCCTCCACCCGTAGAGGTAGTCAACTCATCTGTAGACTCGTACAAAAATATTAAACCAAAGCCACGTCAAGAATTCTTGAGCTCATCCAACATTCATGCCACCTTCCAAGTGCGTACAGTACCCGCACTCGCCGCACGCCTGCAAGTCTTTTTGATACTAACGCCTACAAGGCAGGAGGAAGAGAAGTGATTGACTTCTCCCAAAAGATGTTTTTGTCATCCGAGTGTGCGGATGGTTTCGCCAAGATGTGTCCGGTGGCTATGTTCTCTCTGTCTAGCTCTTAAACCCCCTTTCAGGACGGAAGCACTGAAAGAAAAACCATTGAACCTTAAACAGTACATCCTGAAGCGTCGCTTCTCCTGGAAAGGGAGCAGCTGCAGATCCCCTTGCTTACCGTAGGGTGTAGGGTGTTAATTGGGCTTAGGGCTTATAGGGGCTTCAAACTGCGAAGACCCCCAATTCATAGGCGCAAAACTTACAGAGCGCAGGCCTCCGGCGGCCTCGGCCGCATAGGTTGCTTCGAAGGGATTTCTGCGCCAGGACTTCATATTCTTGCTGGACCGTTCCGGCTCCATGCAGGCTGGTGCTCTCAGAAGGCAGTTTCTTGTCATTTTGGTAGACGAAGTTGGTGAGGCACCCAATGTTTTCGAAATCCGGGGGGGGTGCATGTTGGTCTTTCGGGAATATACCCTTCTTCTCAATTGGAGGGAAGAGGCCTCTTGACCTCTGCGGGGCTTTGACACGCAAAGAAATACAAAGAGGTCAAATTCCACCCGCCTCAAAACTGGTCAACTCGAGCTTGCATCACACGAGCACCCCATTTTTGTTGTAAGAGTTAGATGTGGACTTAAATAGTAGGGGCTGGGTTCAGGCTCCTAGTTGCTCCATGCTGTGGACGGTTTCAGCAGCACAGCTGCTTGCAAGTTTGTATCCGATCCCGCGTTAGGATGTAGGGGTTTAGCGCGTTTAGGGCTTCCGGGCATTTGTAAAATCCAGGAACCCTGAGCCCCTTGAACCTGAGATCTCGGGCACAGGGCATGCAGATTCAGAAGGCAGCCGCAGCACTGCAACTCTTTTTGAGGACAGTTCCCTGGTGTTGCCTCATTTCTCCAATAGGACGAGACCAGAGGACGAGACCCTCCAACATAGTTTACGTATGTTTAGGTGGTTGGGGATCAGGGGAGTCTTGCGAAACTTGCAAACCTCGAATGCAGAGATGGTTGAAACCCTACAAAGGAGAAATGCTGAGAAACTCCTGGCTCTGGCATGTATCCAAAAATCATCAAAAGGAGACGCGGAGTTGTGAGCCTTAGAACATCTAAGCAGATGGCGGAATGACATGTGTTCAGAAGAACAGCGCTAGGGGCTAGCAGCGGCATTTTGGAGCCGTTCTGCGAATTGCTATTGCCAAGCTTCCGTGGAGTCCCCCACCCTTTAAAATTTAAACCCATAAAACCCTCGAAACTCAGGGCCCTTGTTCCGAGCTTCTGAGAGGGCTTCTCAACCTCGCAGTGGAATCAACGAAAACCCTTAGCCTCAACTTTAAACCCAGCCCGACTCATCTTCCCCACTCCTGACATCTCTGCCTTTCCCTGTAAGAACAGTAGCTAGAACATGGTTTTCTCTTGGGTGAATTGACCAACTTAGCGAAGGAGCCTGCCGGTGGGATGCCGCTTCGACATTGTGGGCTTCGGGACTACCTGGACGTCGGGGCCCCGCCTGCCAAAACCCTAAAAATCCTATAGGGATCCTGTAGAGGACCTCTCTAAAACGCCAACCCGATGGGTAAAGGGGTTAGTGCCTCTTCCTCATGGTCAACCGCTATGGTTTCGGCGAGCTCGTTTTGGGATTGCTATTGGGCTTTCATTTCGGTGGAGACCTCATTCAGGTAATTTCTGCATCTGCTAGGTGCCTATGCCTCAGCTGCATGTTTTAGACATCTGCGACGACAGTTTATCTACTGAAGCCTTACTGTTTGGGCTTCCTGTAGGCACATGCACGAAAGGGTTGTTGAGAAGGGTCTCTCACTTGGCTTGATTTCTAGACATCCATGTTCAGCGTCCCCATGCATGATCAAGTCAAGTCGTCCAGGTCCCTCTTCGGTGAGAGCCGGCCATACAACGCAGAGACATTGCAGAAGGTGTGGGCGGTTGTTGAGGTTTGGGGGGCAGATTCCGGCTTCCCCTGCTATTTTCACTGCGAACGCATTGTCTGGCCGAAGTCTTGTACCTTTTACCTATCTTCATCATGGGCCTCCAGCCCTGCTCATGGGGTGCTTGCGAAACTGCATCCACCCCTCTCCCGTTAGATGGCAACCTATCCTGAAGGCTGAGCCCCGCGAAGTACTCCAAGCAAGCTCTGAGCCCCTGACATCCCTCAGATAGTTACGGATGATGCAGGCGAGCGAGCATGTGAAGAACGTCAGGGCAGATCTCGGTGGTGCCCAACAGTGGGCATTTGGGGGTTACCGGTTTCGTTGTTGAGCAAACGAGGGCTGCGGGGGCGAAGAGGGGCCCTGCACGGTTTCGGTTTGTGGGGTGTGGCGCTCATGTTGTAGGAGGTTCCCTTTTTTGGTCGGTTGCCTTTGCCTTCCGCTCCTTGAGCGGGAACACTTCAACAAATGCTTGGACGGCTGAGCGGCGGCTGGATGGAGAATTGAGGCCCCAACTCGCAAGCTCCCCCGCTACACACTCTCAGTCCGCAATCCTGGAGGTCGGATACCCTTTGGTCACACCGAAGGTCGCACCCTTAAAGCCCCTAGAAAACACCAAAAACCATTCCGCGACTTAAGGCCGTTTCGGGCTGCCGGGTTTCGGAAGGGCTCAGGCTTCGAAATTGTCCAGGTACTGAAATCCTGGCGCCGTTGAGAGCCCTCCTCAGCATGCCACCCTCACCTGGCTTCGAGCGCCGTCTCGTCCTGCCACTAGGTGAAGATAATGTGTTGCCCCCTAAGCCCTACAAAACCACAAGCCCGAAGCAGCCTCTGAGGGTTTGGGTTTAGGGTTCAGGGACGTCTCGCTAAGGGGCATCTTAGGGCTCAGGGTGCAGCCTAGAGCTTGAAGATTTGAGGTCAGAGTCCGGGGTGCACAGTAGCAACCCCGATGAACTCCAAGAGGCTCAGGCCAGCCCTGCGACCCCTGCAACATCTTCCTAACCATTGAGCTGCAGCCTAGAGCTTACCCCGGGGTGCAGGCATGTAAGCTGTCTTAGTAGGATATGTCCAGCAAGCCTGAAACAAGCATGCCAGAGGTGCGATGCATCGTCTTTGACCGCCCAGCCTGAACGGTCTAGTTAGTAGGCTGTGCGGCTGTGTGCCGATGACTTGTCCACCACGCGGTTGAGCTCATGGCTCAGGCTAACAGATGGCCAAGTCTGCAACACTGCTGCCGTGCTGGACTTCGTCCGAAAGAATGCCGCTTGCCATCTAAGTTCCCAAACCGGCCTGAGTCCTAAACCCTGAAGAATCCTGAGTCCTGTAATCGTGGCGATAAGAGCAAGAGTAGTCGCAAGCAAAGTCGTAGCAACAATAAACATCATGACAATGAATACCAGGCCATCAGAGACCGGCAGTTGCCATAAGAACATCGCGAATACGAATTCAACAACCCCTTGCCTGTTTACAGGCGACATCTCTTGGTTAGTCGGGCTCTTGCTTTCGGATGCGTCGAATTCTTAGAGCCTCAGGGTCCTGAAGGCCTTGACTCTTAAGCTCGACAACCCTTAACTTCGTGACTTGAGGACTCTTAGGCTGAAGGTTTGGAGTAGCCAAAATATCCCCCAGACCCTGGAGGGGCTTTACTAAGAAAGGTTCTGCTGAGGACGTCCGTTTGGCTACACTTGGCATTTAGAATGGACTGCATGTGTCTGTGAATTCGAAGATGTTCCCAGATGCGTGTGCCCAGGCGAAAGCGACAAACATCTATACAGCCGCTTGTCACACGGGCCGGGGCTCGAGGGTCCAGAGGATGAAGAATCGACGGGACCAAGTGTTCCTTCAGCTGCATCCTGTCAGAAAAAGAACTAGCAGAGGGAAGAAAGCGTGTGCCTTTCAAGACTGAAGACGAGGGGCCAAATGATTGCAGGGATCCTTAGAAAGAACCGACATCTCAGAACTGGAGCCACATCATGACGAAGTTGCAACTTGTTACAGCCCAAACCCGAACGACATCCGACACCCTTTCATCGACAGACTCCGGAGTGCGGGATGTGTAGGGTTTCAGCCAGCTTCCCTGTTCCGTGGCTTAAGGTTTCGTAGTTTAGGGATTTCGGTTCGGGTGTAGGGCAGGGTGTGTTTATAAGCGTTGCTGTCGGAGTTTTGTTCGTGGAGCTTTAACGGTGTCTGAAACCCCGAAAGCTTCTTAAGGTTTTCTACGAGCGCCCCACAAATATCCTGAAGCCCGAAACCCCTGAAGTTCCTGAAGCCTCTCACTCCCGCCGGGATGCCTTTGCCTGCGAGGTCGGCATTGGCAACGGCGTGTCCCACGAGCTCGTGGAAGGCAATGCGAACCAAATCTGCTTGTCATTGAACCCACCTTAAATCTCAACCTATGTGAACTCTGCCGGCAGCCCTTATCCCTTCATGGCCTCAAGCCTAGACCCCAAGCAAAACAAAAGGCTGCCTGAACCCTCAACCATCCTACACCTTCTTCTGTATGCGCACCGCTGGTCAAGAGAAATCCGCATCTTCTACTGTGGTTTCGACTGTCAAGCGCGGTTTCCCCCTTAAACCCTCTAATTGCTAGATAGCCTTAAGTCCCTAAATTATTAGAACGTATCGAGATTTCCGCGAAAGAATTGGAAGCTACAACGCCCAACGCCCCAGAACCCGAAGTAAGTGCTGTCGCTGTCAGACACAACATCCCGCAGCCACTGTGCAATTACTGCCTTTCAGGCCTAGCACAGGCTGCCGGAGGGTCGGCAGAGTTTGCAGCGTGGTCTGAAACCTTGGATTCGACGCATGGCTTGGGGAGCTTCAGGATGGGAACTGCTTAGGAGCGGGGCTAGGTTTTGGTTTTTTTTCGCAGGGTTTAAGGTGTAACCAGACTTCTCATAAGGGTTTGAGGGCATGGGCTCTTGTTGGGTTGCGGGTTCAAGGCCCTAGCCTTAACCCGAACCCCTAAACTGCTGCTCGAGGATGTCAGGAGGAACGAGGCTCTGTGGGTCACCTGTGAAATCCGAAGGGCATTTAGGGCGGTTATAGGGCTTCGGGTTCATAGGCCTTGGATGGGTGCTTGGACTCTGCTTCGCATGTGCAGCTGAGGATCGTGGTGCGCCAGTTGGGGCGTGCTTTGCCACTTGGCCCAGCTTGTGGAGTCATAGAAGGAAGTATCAAGCGCTTGAAAATAAATTTCGCCTTTTCCGACAGGGCCAATCCGAGACGAGGTTTACTCAAGTAGTTTCCATCCAGGACGTCTTTGGCTTTGGGAGGAAACTCTCTCTTTCTCTTTATCTTTCTCTTTCTCTCTCTCTTTCACCTTTCTTTCTTTTTTCTTTCTCTTGCTGTGAAAGCTTCGCAAGCATTTCGGAGCCCGGGATGTGTGGAATTAAACAGGCGAGCTTCCTCCATTCCCCCATTGACCACAGAATTTCTGGTGGGATTGGTCTTAATGAGAGTCCCTTGTGGTAGCCGGTAGGCGAATGCAACCATATAGGCTCGCTCCTGTATGGTATGTACATGAAGATACACCTATATATTTCAAGCGAACCACCCCTTGGTGTCGGGCCCCACTCTGACAGGAAAGCAAAGGCGCCGCGCTTGACGCAGGCAGGCACACAGGGGACAGTCTCGAGTCTCGAGCTCACAGGTCTTGTAAGTATCATGACCAGGAGCATTGCCATGACCTTGAAAGCCTCATTCTGGTAAACCCTGCACTTTGCCCTAGGTGTCTTTCCTGGGCATAGATCCCGAATCTACAAGTTGGGGGCTCTGGGCTGCCATAGAATTCCTAAACGTTTGCACCCTCTAAGTCTGAAGCACGAAGGCCTCGCTTGATGGGGTGCGCTTTGCGGCAGTGGCCCCAGCGGCACTTTCTGGGCACCAAGAGCGAGGCAGCCTCGTTGGGCTTGTGAACCGTGTGGAGGATTCAAGCGAGAAAGGTCGAGGGCTTTGTAAGGTTTTCGGGTGCACAGTTAAAACCACACCCGTACACAGATCAGTTGAAATCTAGCTGTTTCCCCTCCCCCCACCCCCCCCCGACTTCGCCTGCAGGAGCCGCACACGGCGATGCTGGCATTTGCTGCTCCGGGGATGCTTGGATGTTTCCATGGCTTGCTAGAGTTCTTGAGTGTCATGCCTGGGGCCATCCTGAAGTGTGTTCACAGCGTGTTGCTTGCAGAGGGTTCCACAGAAGGTTATGACTGCTCCAGAGATGCCGAAGTATCGGGGGCAGGGGATAAGGCAGACGCTCTTGTAGGCTATACTGATTTTGGCTTACGCAAGGGGTTGGGGACAATCACTGTTGGAATCAGCTGAATAATGATGAGGTATGGTCAGTAGCAGTTCAGTACAATGTTGCCCAAAACTTGTGATTGTCGCTTGTGCTAGTATTCCTGGCCCTGTGGTGTTCAAAGCTTTCGATGCACTTGCCAGATGGTAGCACCCTGGAGCGAAGGAGAAAGTCGTCGTGGCTGCGACCATTCCTGAAGGTCTCAGCCAAATCGCAGGCGCTTCGCTCCTATACGCCCTTCTTAATGGGTCGCCAGAGTCGGGGAGTTCTGGGCTTCTGGGCTTTTCAGGTTTCAGGGCATGCTGTATGAGGCTCCCGGGCATGTCATAGAGGCCAAAAGACGGCAACGCACTTGAAGAGGTCGTCATCTCCCAGCTGAGTAGGACTGCTCCAAGTGCGGCTTAGGGAGTAGGGCTCCGCAGGGCCTATGTAGGGTTTCAGGGTTTCGAGTTCAGGGCTTAGGTGACTTTCAGCTTCACTTCGTGAGGGGCGACGGGATGGAAAGCACCGCGGCAGCATCTTCCATCTTAGCTTCGCGCGGTCTCAAGATCCCTACTTTGGTTTTAGTCTACTCTCCGCAGCCATTCGATCCAATGGGCTTCGCTCTTCTCTTACGGCTCTTACGGTGCTTACGGTTCTTGGGTTCGGAAATGTATAATCACTTCTTTTTAATTCCAAATCTCACTCTTCACCAAGGCAGCCTCACTCTGACCCCCACGCGGCTCTCTTCGCGAGGGAGCTTGAGGAAGATGGCTGGCAAGGTTCTATGGCAGGATTTGGGTTTTAGGGCAAGCCCTGAACTCGGGTCCGGTTTTTTTTTGAAGTGGCTATCTTGGCTTGGCCTGGCTTGGTTCTGAGTTTGTGAGGCGGGAAATACTGTGAATAGCAGCCTTCCTGCGTTTTCAGAGGCTGCAAATACTGTAAATAGCAGTAGTTCTGCGTGTTCAGAGGCTGCAAGTGCTGCTATTCAGCAAGGGAGAAGGGTTTTGAAAATTTGGGCTTATCCTGAACCAGCAACGAGTGGAACTGATGGACACGGCTCACAGTTGAGAGTGTGGAAGTTTTGCGTTCGCACTCTTGGGGTGGATACCTTGTGAAGTCCCTGTTTGAGTGTTGAAATCAAGGTGTCAGTGGCAGCTTGTGTATCAGAAGCTCCGTAGCAGGTGTCGGCTTTGATGCTTGCCAAAACACCAAGTTAGGACCAAGTTTCCACCGGAGCTTACAACCTAGATAATCTACAATAGGGTGATTTGGGTGAAGCTCAGATCTTCCCCGATGTCAGGCTTCTGCTGAAAACCCAAAAGGTATGACAAGACTTGCTTCTGTGCAAGGATGGCCATAGTGGCTATCTTGAAGGTTCACGGGTGGCAACGCTGGTGATACCCATAAATTCAGAATCACTTCGTTATAATCTCCTCTCTCGGGGAAACACGCTTGTGAGCATGTTACTCACACCCTCTTTAGAGTAAGTGGAACTCTGAGACTCTCAACTCAAGGAAGTTCGGAATGTGGGTTCAAATCCGTGTGGGGTCCAGGCATTGATCGAGGATGCCGTGGCCAGCCTCCACCTTCTAACGGCACAGGACGGAACCTTGCAGACGACAGATGCATCTGTCCCTTGTCTGTCCATACTGCCCCAAAAGTCGAGAAGCCAGCGGGAGCACTACAATCATCACGGAATCGCGGGGTCTTTTGTGTCACAGTGCAAGACCCTGATTCGGGGGGAATGAACCAGGCTCTAGCAGCACGTTGCCATCTTATGCGCGATCCTCTTTATCCTGTGTAGTTGAAGGGCGAGCCACTTGACCAGACTTGGCCGTGCGCAGCAAGAAGAGCTCCAGAAGGGACACTTGTGCATCTCGGGTTCCAGATAACGACTGGCCCGTGCGGCGCGGCGGCACTCGGACACGGTAACATCTCATGTGGCAGTCGAGGGCAACTAAACAAGTCGGAGCTCATCATGGTCATGGCTTTGCGGTGCTGCTGAGCTTGCCATTCTTGTCTCCGAGTTTGTGGAAGAATGTTTTGTTTCGTCCGGACACATCCCAACAATCTGCTCCGAGGCTTGAGCAAGTAGGATCTGCATCCCTCTCTTCAAGAGGGCCCTCCCTTCAAGAGAGCCGCTTGATATGATGCAGGAGAGGCAGCGGCACGAGAAGCTCATCGTCGACCTAGGCCTGGTAGAACAAAGGATACGGGGCTTCGTTTGGGGGATGGGATGTTCAGGAGGTCGTTCCGATCATCAGGGGTTTCCCATGGCCCCTCTGCTTGCAATACCCTAGCACCCCCCCGCCCCCCCAAGCTCCAAAACAAGAACGCCCAACATCCGACAAACCCAAATAAAGGGGTTGATCTAAGCCGCCGCAGGCCTCTTTGATACCCAAACTATATAAGGATCATTCTGTAGATCGGGACTCCCATTGGGCCCATGCTCCTGCCCACAGCAACCATGAGAAGGCATTCGGTTTCAGCTGGCCACGCGGTACACGTCCTTTATTGCAGTCGGTGGTGCTGCGGAGGACCGGCTCATGTCACCGTCCCATCCCGGCTTTGCCTAAGAACATCGAACCTACTACATCTCTACACAGAGAACCGGTGGGGCTACAGCAACGGACGGGTTAGAGGTTCTTGAATCTCTTTAGGGTCTTCGAGGGTCTGAGGGTAACGCAGCACAGCCTTCAAAGAGCAGAGAGCCTGATGTAGCCATCGTCACCATCATCATTGTGCCTCATCCGGCGAATTCTGTTGTAAGACGAAGAGGAGGAATCAGGAGTCAGGAGGCCGGAGGTAAAGCATTTTTACATCTCCAAAGCGCCAAAAACCCCCAGGAGCCAGAGTCCCTCGTGAGTGCCTCATGGCGTACCCCTTCAGTCCCTGACGGCCCACCTCATGGTAGAATCAGATTATAGGGCTCAAAGGATGTGAGATTTCAGAGAGCCTGAGGGCTTTTGGGGGGTTTTCAGGGCTGGGTATGAGAAGCCGCCCCAATTTGCAGGAGGCACTTGGGGGAAGCAACCGCACTGTCAGCGCAAACTGCGGCCTGCCGCCACGGCCGCAGTTTGAGAACTCAGGCCTCCTGCTGCGGAAGGGGGACGGGGTGTGCCCTGAGAAAATTCAGTAGTTAGGATAAGTATTTCCAAGGCTACTGGTGGCGGGCAGGGCGTGGCTCAGTCGGAAAGTTGCCACACCAGAGGGTTTACAAGAGCATCCGGGGAGCATGTTGGAGTCCTGCCTTTTGATTTTTCTTTTCCGCGGCGGGTCTTATGTTTTATCCTAGACCACGCTGGTCACTACCCGGCATGAACAGTCATGTCACATCTCCAACCAGTTTGACTATGCCCTGCAAGGATGTTCTTGGAAACTGGACAGGTGGCCAATTAGTAGGTATAGGACTCCGAAGCGGCTTCTTTCGCAGATGTGTGCAGGCACGATCTCAACTAAAGAGCTCTCGAGCGTGATGCGCTGCTGCTCGGAGAGGGAACGGCCAAGGCAACAGGGGTGGAGAGGATCCAATGGGTCCAGGACGGTTTTGGGTTCTGAAGGTCATGTTTGCGTGTTGGGGGAGTCTGCGAGCCTTTGAAGCCTTAGACTACGTAGATTCTATCACCCAAAAGTTTTCCTGAAACCAAGCAGTTTGGGTTCAGTTATTCTGCAGTTTTGGCTGGGAACTCGCCATGATGTGGGCTTGGGCTGCTTTTTCGGAGGCAGAGCTCCACCAGTCGAACTCTATAGCTCCACATTTCGGTTTGTTGAAAAGATTGCAGCATCTTGCTCTTGAGGCATGGCGTGGCCATCAAGATGCGTGTAGCATAGGGCCTTAGGGCCTTAACATCTCTCCACGCTCCTCTCCACACCGTAGAAGTCGAGCAGGACAGACCAGTTAGCACTGAGAGGTTTCAGCCTTTTGGAGGTCCTTGACGCCCTTGTTTTGCCGTAGTAATGAAACGCCAAGAGTGGCCACACGTATTTCGCTTCAGCTCCTATACGGAAGAAGTGTCAGTCGAGCTCGATGCAGCAAGTGTCGAAGTTAACCAAAGACACGATTCGTGCTGAACCACATCCTCGGCTTGATCACTTGAGCCCTAAACCACATACACCCGAGTCTAGAAGAGCGGGCGTGGCCAGCTTCCTCTGGGGGTCTAGGATGAGCATCAAAAAGTGACCCACAGACCCTTTCTTGAAGAGTAAACCTTAGACTCAAGGCTGAGCTTAACAGGCGTGTTTCCTAGCGAAGCAATTGACAGTACTCTGCAGCCTGAGGCTTGGGTCAGAACCCAACGGAAGCCGAGTTACAGGACCGCAGGCATAGGTGGGGTTTTGCAGGGTAACCTCCTGGACAGTTTGGTTTCTTTAGCCTTGCTGAATCCTGAGATTCTGCATGTGGCATTCGAAGCCTTGAGCGATGTTCGCATGTGTGTGTTTTACTTGAAGTTCCAAAAACGTGGGAGCTTCATCTAAACTCTGAAGTCCAAAACCGCAAACCATAAACTTCTGCAGGGTTGGTTTCAACGAAACGGCCTTGAATCCCAAAGCCCTCTACAGCCTCAGGGTCTTGCTATTTTCACTGGCCTCAGAAGCCAGCCCTGACAGGACATGATCAACGAAGTCGACTGCGACGGCACCGGGACCATCGACTTCCCCGAGTTCCTTTCAATGCACCTTTGCCTTGCAGGTTGACTTTCATTGTCAACCCGAAACCCTAAACCCCAACCCCATAACCCTCAGCCCTAAATCCAAAACCCTAAACTAAACCCTAAACCCTCCATGAAGATCTGTGTTTTAGGTCGACTTGGAAGGGGTCAGGATGGTGGGTTTAGGTCGACTTAGAAGGCTTCAGGATGGTGGGTGCTTCTTTTGTGAAGGTATCCCAAAGCCAGATTCCTTGCGAAGCCCATCGTTTCAAGTCAAGTGGCGAGCTCCATCTCTCGAATCGCAACCCTTGCGCCCTAAGTTCGGTGGAAAAGTCTGCGCGTTTGATGTTTTAGGGGTTAGAGGCCTTATGGGGTTGCGGGGTTAGTTGAGCAGTTGAAGGGTGAATACACTTCCTGCCAGCCGCTCTCGGCCAGAGGCAGGCGCGGAAGATGAAAGACACGGATGCAGAGGCAGCAGCGGGAGCTGTGACACGAGTTTCGGGGTTGGGATGCAAGGCGTGCGATGCTTCAGGTGGCAAATTCGAGGCATGGAGGAGTACGGGGCCATTTCCTGACATATGTAGTGATATCTGTAGTAGATCAGAGAAAGGGTCCTGATTGCAACGGTTGCGAAAGTTGGAACGCCCATGCTACGCGAAAGACACGGCAGGCCTTACCAACACGAAGCATCGCGTGTTTGTTTAGCAAGAAGTCCTCCCTCACAAAGGTGTTGATGGGCAGGTAGGTGAAGAGACAAGCACCATAGAACCCAAAATCGGCACCCGAATGAAGTCCGCGCGCAGGAAGATCTCGTTGAAGCCTTTCGAGTCTTTGACACGCGGGGGGACGGCTACATCTCTGCGGCGGAGTTGCGCCAGGTGATGACGAACTTAGGCCAGAGTTTGGGCCTAGAGGGCTTGTACGGATTCATACATACCATTTAGATTCTCGAGTTGCGCTGCTTAGCATGGTTTTTATTAGGTGCATATATATATATATGTATATATGTATATATACAGATATATATATATATATATTTGTTTTCATTTATCTACATGTGCTTATTTATTTCGATTCTGTTTTGTGTCTGTAGGCTTTCTGACTGAGGTTGGTGGCCTGGCAAGGGGCTCCCCCCAAAAAAAAGAAAAGCAAGCTCCCAGGACCGGTGCTTCCTGGTCCCTGGGAGGCTAACCCCTAAAGTGGGCACACAGGCTGAGCCATGACAGCCCTGGTATAAACAGGGCTTCGATGGGCTGAGGGGGATCAACAGAGCTCACCAGCCTATGAACTCCTCTGTAGGTTGACAGTCCCTCAAGTCCTTGTGCAGCCACATAAGTTCTATAGTGCTCCAGTGATCCGGCAAGACCAGGACGTAGCCACGGCCATCAACCCCACATCCCTCTAAGCCCTAAAAACCCTATAACCCTTGAAACCTCACCGTTTACAAGTGCCTAAACCTCCTAAATCTCACAAACCCTATACAGCCGGGTATAAGCCTCTGCAATCCTGGAGGCGAGAGGCTCGATGACGAGGAGATCGATGAGATGATCCGGGAAGCAGACGTCGATGGTGACCTATTCGAGGAGCAGCAGATGCTCATGGTTACCGAGGTGTTATTGATGCTAAAAGAACAACACTGTAGAGGTGAGCCTAGCAAAAAAGACGGTTCGCCTTCCTTGTCCTCCTTTGTGCCAACTTGCTGCCCTTTCCCCCTTCCAGCCGCCTCCAGCCCCTTACCCCAAACCCTGTTGAACCCTGTGAGCCTTAAACCCTAAAACCTAAACCCTAAACCCTCAACCCCGGAAGCCCCCTCGTGAAGGAGGCCCCTGAGGATGCTGTGACAGTGGAAGCGACGAGCCCAGAGGCTCCTCCCCTTTGAGTCGCCAGGTCCAGAGGTTCATATGGGGCTTTTGGGTTTAGGCCCTGTTTGAGGGCTTAGAAGTTGGGTGTTTAAGGTTTAAGGGTTCATGCTTGGTTTGGCTTCGAAAGGTTCTGCCCTGCTGGGAGTTGAAGGTTTACGGTTTGTCGCAGCTGGCTTTGGGGTAGCTGTCTCGCTGCCCCAGCTGTCAGCTACACAGCTACACATGCAACCCTCGGCCCGAAACTCCCAACCCTTGAAACCGCCTAACCTCCCCAGTCGAAAGCAGACCGAGCCAGCACCCCAAAGCCCTTGAGAGGTTCTCCCAGAGCTCCTACAGTCCTTGGTCCTGCTGCAGGCGCAGGGGTCTGCTGTGTTGGGGGCTCCAGGAGGTCATGGCGGGAGTTTGCTGAGGGCTTATCATCTGCAAGGCTTTGTGGCTCCCCTACCCCTCAGCCCCAAGATTCAACAACCCTAAACCCTAAACCCTAAACCCTAAACCCTAAACCCTAAACCCTAAACCCTAAACCCTAAACCCTAAACCCTAAACCCTAAACCCTAAACCCTAAACCCTAAACCCTAAACCCTAAACCCTAAACCGAACCTGCATGAACAAACACCCTAAGCATCCTGAAACCCCAAGATAGGCCTTCGACGGCTCCTGGGATCTCGACGTCGCCTTCGCTAGCCTCTTCCATGTGGAGTTGGCGAGCTTGGCGCCACCGGTAGGTGGGGACCGGCTGGGACCTTCTGGGTTTAGGGTTTAGGGTTTAGGGCTTAGGGCTTAGGGCTTAGGGTAAGTCTGAGGCCAGATGGGACTTTGAAACGAGTAAGACTAAAACAACTCAAGCTCAATCCTGAGCCTGACCCCCTCGGAGGTTATATTAACCCTCATCAACCCTGCCGGGCTTAGAAGCACCAAGCCCCATCCCACACGCCCTGTAAGCCCCTTCCCCCCCCATTGTAACACAACCCAGAATGGTACTGGTAGCTTTTTCTTTCAAACAGCTATGAAAATGTAGGGGCCATCATTTCGGTGCTCTAGTATTTCGGACGTGAGCCCTGTGGTCAGGCATTGACTCTCGTGTGTGGGCCTCGTCTTTGGCGCTGTCGGTGCTGGCGCGCTGCTCAGGACTGGGCCCTATCCCCCTAAGGGTCCCCCTACCCGGGTTCCGTCGACAGCACAGAGAGGAAAAGCTCGGGATGCCAGCATCATGGTAGGACCTGGTAGGTTGGCTAAAGTTCTCCAAAGGCACTGAACTCAGCCTTTGCTGCTGAGAGTCCTGGGTCCTACGTAGGGCTAGCTGTTCATCAAGTCTCAGCTTGCATTTGGTGTTCGGAGCTGAGGGGTTTAGATAGACCATAGAGTCGTCGGGCAGCACACCTCCAGGACAGAGCCAGTGGGCAACCTGGCTACATCCGGAAAAGAGCAGCATGGGCCTGCGTGTAAGATCAAGGCAGGAAAGGCGCTCAGGAAACGGGGGAGTTAGATGCAGATTCAAGAGTTCGGGTTAGATTTGGAGGGTTTGGATTCGGGTCTAAGCTTTGAAGGAGGCACCTGGTGTTGGCCAAGTTGCAGACTTGTTCTGCATGTTTGTTTTGCTGAAGCCACCGAAGCTCCTGCCCCCCTGCTGCTCATGTAGGCCCAATGTAGGCGGCATGCAGGGTTTCCAGGCCCAGGTCTCGAAACCGCAGCCCCTTTGCTGAGCAGATGCCCAGCTTATGACGTACAAGACCGAAACCCGGAGTTCAAACAGCATGCCTGGACCTTTTACGTGCAAAACAGGTGACAGCCACGCGGAGACAACCCCTTACAGCAACCCGAGTACCCTGATACCCTGAAGCCCTTATACCCCCTATGTCATGCCATCCTGGCCTGGGGCGCCACTGCTCCGAGGACCTCGTTGCTGACAAGGCGCGTGCTTGGCTTCGACAGCAAGTGGCCGACTCCGACACTGTGCTGCCTGGTTCTGTTGAGATGCTCCCAACTACTCCGCTTCGGACCGAGGGTTCGGGATTGAAGGCTTTACCCCAGACTAAACCCTGCACATTCCCTATAAATCTTTCCCCAGGGTTCCAGAGTGGCAGCTCTTTCGGGGTTGGGGATGCCGGACAGTGAGCCGCAGCCTGCGGTGCGAATTCGGGTGCAGGGCCTAGGGGAAACATTGCCCGTGGAAGAGCTTTCCGAGACCAGACCAGTTTCAGAATCACAGAACAAAAACAAGGGTACATGGTCTCCCTCCTTGACGATTTGACCATGTTCATGCCTGGTATGATGGTCCTTCCTCCTCGCCCCAATTGCGGCATGCTAGAGTAGAGGACCTGTTAATGAGGAATCCTATTGGAAAGGGTAATCATCTATAAGGGCGCTCCAGTACATGAAACAAAGGTTGGCTCTTGCAGCCTCACAGCTGCCAAGCCTTCCGAAAGCACCAGGCGAGCCTCTTTCTTTCTTTTTTTCTTTGTTTTCTTGGGAAGGGGGGGGGGGGTGGGCGCTGAGGGGGAGGGGGGGAGGGGGAGAGGGGGGTGACGATTCGACATCATGAATGTTTGCTGGGTCCCGTATACAGGGGAGGCCATACTGCACTATGTAGCCATTCGAGATTGGGGTTGCGAGGATCTCTGGAACTCCATGGCTTTCCCGGCCAAGGCCGCCAAGGTGCACCGACCCAGAGGAAGAAGGGCCCCGGCAAGATCCGCTGCTCTGCCTGACGTTACAGGGAATGAGGTCAGGGTTAGATCTGTTGTTGATACCGCAACATTTGTAGCAAGAAGTTGGAGATCTGAGATGCTCTACCGAACCGAACCCCGAGCCGAAAGGGAGCACATGTAATTAGGTTGTTCACAGAGCTCTTGTATCTGCCTTGTGGCTCCGAACCTTCTGCGAGGCTGCAGACCTCTCTAGGTTAGCCCTTCAGAGCCACGTTCAGGGTCTGGGTTTGCACAGCGACCTAGTGCTCGGGGGCGAACTGCAAAGGGTTGTGCCCGAGTAAATGGTCCGTTTGGAGCATGCAGTGGCGTACAAGTTAGCTTCAGGGTTTAGTTTTGTTTAGGGGCTTGGATTGAACAGGCACGGTTCCTGTTTGGCTTGCTTGGCATGTGCGCACATGGCAATTACTCGAAGCGACAGTGCTTGTAGGGTGGCATGCCCAGACTACAGAAACGTCACCCGGATTTCAGCTGCAAGGTTATGACGAGTTTGTCAAGATGATGATGGCCCGTTGAGGACTTCTCCCTGTGCGCTGGAAGTGGAAGATGTGCGTAGGGTCAGTTGCGGCAGTTGCACTTCTATCTTGCTAGTTCAGATTGTTGCGGATCAAATCCGGAGTTCCGCTTGGTGTTAACGAACAGTGTCAGCGACCGCAGCTGACTTGCCCAACGATGTCGTTCCAAAAGGTTTTGTCGCCAGATGCTGGTAGCTGTTGCAGCTGCTTTCATTCTATCTCACCTGACAACTGCCTACCATGGAGGATTGTTACTGTGCTAGGAGTAGCATTGTCTCACCGCCATTAAGCTACCACAGTATCCTTGGTCGGGTCAAGTCGGGTAGTACTGCCCGCATACTGCTCCTGCCAGCCCATTTACCCGGGATGAGGGTTCCGCATATGCTCGTTGGCACATAAAACAACAACAGGCATCATCATGTAAGAACAAACCGAAGGTGAAAAAGACACACCATTTAGGCCACAGCTGCCACGGCGCGATGTATTTCTGGCGACCTTGGTGTTTCTGCAGCAAATTGGGCTCTGTACAGTTCAAGCTCGGCTGCGAACACTCCCGGCAGAGATTCATGCCTGGGATGGAGACTAGGTTTGATGTTGGAGAACTACAGGGCTGGCGTTGACAGGTTCGGTCAACGGTCATGAGAAGAGCTCAGGGGACTTCAGGTTTTCACTCATAAAAGACTCTGCTGAAGCCTTCCGATTCCAACAACAAGATGGACCGACCTACCGATTCACCCCTGACGTTAAAACCCTGTAAAGCGATGGAACACTTGAAAAGCGACATCCCTCATGTTGCGTCCATTAGCACCGCCAGCCGGTTTTGGCAGTCGCTCATATGGGTGCATGGCACAGCTACACTACCGAAGCACAGAGTAGCACACAGGCAAGTAAATCTGGTGTTCAGGGCTTGGGGTTTATAACGTTCAGATTGATCGGTTCTCCATTTCAGACATCGTGAACCTGCACGGGCAACATATCATGGATCGCTACGCCTTGATTGACAAAGAGCCAAGCTGCTTGAACGTTCTCTCCCGGGAGTAGAAGCCAACACCCTAGAAAGAGTTGTGGCTTCAGGACAGTGTAGGGTCGGATGTTGTTGGACGTTTTCTGTTTTGGAAGTTTTCGGTTGAAGGGTTAAACAAACCTTGAGGCGCCCAAGTACAACAAGCCCGCGCAGCAAAGCCGCCGAGGTCAAGCACTTCACTCTAAAAACTGAGCTCCCAAACCCTTGGCTTGAAATCCCAAGCCTTATAAGCTCTAGAAAATCCTCAGCGGCTGCACCCCATAGTGCCCTAAACGCCCTTCTGGCAGAAGGCTGCAACACCGCAGTCGAAGGGTCTGAGGCTTGAGCTTGAGGTCCCAGAATTCAGGCTCACAGGACTCTACAAAGGGATGCCTCAGAAACACGAAGTCCATCTTTGAGCCCGATAATCCTCGCCGTATTTTCAACCGAAGCCCACCCGAACTCTCCAACTGGGCGCCCGGGAAGGACCTCAAATTAAAGTCCTGAATTATCAAGACTCGGAAACCCTATCCTCAAGCTGCACCCCAAAACCCATCGCGACCCTCACCCGCTACTTTCTGGTTTGGGAGTTCGGGATGTGGGATGTGGGATCTCAGTCGATGGCTTGTCCAAGCAAGATCTTCGGGATGGCAGGGTCGAGCCATTTCAGCGACAATTTTCTTGCCGCCTGGGGGAGGGTGATCCGCCCAGCATGCAGATTTTCGTGGCCTGGCTGAGTTTAGGGTTTCGACGGTTTACCAGCTTACCCTAGCTCTTGCCACTGAAAGGGTACAGAACGTGTAGGCGCTGCTGTTTGGGGACTTTTGGGACGCGAATGACGCGAAGGTCAAAACCCTGACGGGTAAGACGATCACGTTGGACGTGGAGGCGTCGGACACGATCGACAACGTCAAGGCATCAGCTTGAAGTGATGGTGAAGCAGGTTTCTCCGGTTTCTCCGCCGCCAAATAGGCTCCGGCTCCTCTTCCCCATCACTGCCTCAACACTGGAAAGCCCCCGACACACCAATAGTCAAAATACTAGATCCTATCAGAAACCTCCACAAATAAATCTGCAAGCCCTTCTAGAAGCTCCAGGCCAAGATCCAGGACAAGGAGGCCGGATGCCCCAACAGTGGAAGACTTGTTGCCGGAATCAAAAGCACACGCCCTCTTCAAGCCTAAGCTCTCTAGATAAACTTTAAGAGGCCACGAAGGAGCCCTTGAGTTGTGAGGGTTCAGGGTCTAGAGGGATGTGGGGGTTGTGGTTGAAGTCCCATTTACGAAGGGCATCTGGCGAGCAACTCTGCCCCCATGTAGCCTTGGGTGCAGGGTATCCCGCCAGACCAGCAGCGCCTCATCTTCGCAGGCAAGCAGTCCAGGACTCAGACATGTAAGGGTTTAGGGCCGGTTTAGAGGTTCTCGATGTCTCTCAGTGTGTCTTTAACAAGGCTGTCGACGGTGCGTGCACGCTTCACAGCATTGGCATTCTTTCTGTGTCCACGACAACAAGCAGGTTTTGCGTTCAGCTTCAAGCTAGACGATTAGACTTACGACGACCCAACAAGGTTGGAGGATGGCCGCACGCTGTCCGATTACAACATCCAGAAGGCAGCCAATGGGGTGCTACGGTGCTTTAAACCGGGTGTTCGGGGATGAGGATTAAGGGCTCAAGCCTGTGGGGTGCCGGGATCTGGAGATTTCTGGGGCACACGATCCTAGTGAACCTGGAGATGAAACATCTTGTTTCGGTCCACTTCGGCCTGGAATTGTGGCTTGCCAGGGCTGAGGGTAAACCCGCAACTCCTCCAAAAACGCGTACTTGGAGGAGTCCACCCTTCACCTGGTCCTGCGGCTCCGCGGCGGGGTCATCGAGCCATCCTTGGCGGCTGGAGGGCTCAGAGCTTCGGGCTCGAGGGACTGTGGCCTCAAGATGCTTATAAGCCTGAAACTCTAGACCTCCTGTGACACCACTTTTTGGGTGTCTTGTCTTCTTGAGGTTCTACCCTGTACTACATAGTAGTAGCAGGTCCTTGGGGGGAAAGCCCTTGGAAAGAAGCTTCAGCCCCCAGCCCTCAGCCGAGATTATGTTCCTACTTAGGGCGTTCAGGGGTTTAGGATGGTTTAGGGTTAGTGTAACAGTTAGGCTTTGGTGGATGTTGGGGCTCAAGAGGGCTGAATCCAGACGGCTCCTGGATGTCATATTTCATTGAAAATCCCATCGCAGATTTTTCCCCACACGGCGTGTCACTAAGGGGTTCCCAACTTCCCACCGCTCCGCGCACGCCGACACGATGCGGACCACGGTTCTTTCCCGAGGGTTGCTCCATCTTGCACGAAAATCGCGCTCTCGCCTAGGCGCGGGCGTGACGGCATTCGCCTTCCTCGAAGCTGTCATCGCTTTTTGACTTTGGGTTTACGCTTGCAGAATCTTGTTTTGTGGGTTCTGGGGTTCATGTATCTACGTATGTCTTGACCTGGCGGTCTTCAAACCTGCCAGAAATCCTTGAGGTGCTTGCGCGCAAGTTCAACTGCGAGAAGATGATTTGCCGTCGCTGCTACGCCCGCCTCCACGTGCAGATCTCAGCGCAACGAGAGGGACCTGAGGGCCTTCGTCATCCCGGCCTCAGTCTCCCATCCCACAGTTGTAAAGAAAGAACCACGAAAGGGAACGGCGTAACCTGGAGGCTGATCGTTGTCCCTAAACTAATGTAGTGTGGGGGATGTTCACTGGCCACGATGTGAACCCTACATGCAATACGCCCCCGACTGCCCCGAAGGCATAAGAAGCAGCAAGTGCTACCAGGCCCGGGCAGTGAACTGCCGCAAGAAGAAGTGCGGCCACAGCAACCAGCTCCGCCCCAAGAAGAAGCTCAAGCATCTTGGCCGAACTCTGGGAGAATTCCGTGCCCGTGAGTTGGGGTTTAAGGCGTAATGACCTTCTCTAAGCCAAAAGAATCCCAAAATCATTGATTACTAGGATGCCCAGCACCCGGCTTGTTCTTAGGGTTACTGGGCTCCTTAGAACACCAAACAACCAAAGAGGCCCCTTGTCTGATCCATCAGTTTCCCAGGTTTCCAGTGTTCCGAGGCTCAAAAGGGGGTAGCCTGCGATCGCTCCGTGAATGATGTGCCAATTTCAGGTCAGCACGCTTAAGGTAGCTTCTAAGTTCGTGGCGCCTTGTCGTATCAGATTCGAGGATCAAATGGATTCTAGTCCCGGCCGTTTGGATGCGACAGTAAGGTTGAGGATGGTGGGGCTACAGCGGGATGCTGTGTGGAGGTCTATTGAGTCTACTGACTTGCTGGGCTAAAAAATACGAGTCGTCCGTACAACTGCACCCTCGGCTCTTTGTCAACGCATCGCCATGTTGTTGGGGGGGGGGGGGGGGGCAACCGAAGCCCCCATTCGGTACGCGTGGCCGGGTGCTCTGGGTGATGTTGGGTTCGCGACGCCCGGACGACCCAACCCAAAAAAGCCCACCAAACAACATGCAAAGCTTAACGAACACGTCCCGTCGCAGCGCTTTGATGTAGCACTTGAATCACTTGCAATGCCCTCCCTACATCCGATCCTGCAAGCACAGCATGCTGCCCAACCCTCAGCCGCGACCCTTCCGCTCAGCCAGCGATCCACCCAGGAAGCGTTATGTGAGCCTAGAACATCAGGTTTTTTCAGTCAGAACTGGGACATCTTCTGAGATTTACAACTGGGGTGTCAGCGGCATAGATACCTTCCACAGTGGCTCAGCGGCTGCAGGTAAGCTGGTCGTGCGGGCAGAGAAGTCTGAGCAAGTCACCTGGCCTGTTTTCAGGGGTGCATCATGAGTCATGGCACTCGTGTGGATGCAGACAGTGGGTGTGGTGATTTTTGTTGCTCATGCGCGGACGCAAGCAGTGAAGCAGTGACTGAAGCCACCCCTAAATTGCAAACTCCTCAAATCCGCTGCCACACGCCACCCCTTCCAGTGACCACCTTCCGGTAGCCCAGTCCCGAAGTCCAATGCCCTGAAATCCTATGCCCTAAATCTCTCAATATCTCTCAGGTTGTCAAATTCCACCCTAAAATTCTTGAAGTCCTAAGCCAAACCCATGCTCCGAAGCCCCATGGCAGGGCTGTTCCTCCAGGCTGGCGTGATGAACCAGAAGACAAGCATGTCGCTGCTCTGGAAAAGTCAGTGCCACAAGGCCTTGCGCTTTTACACGGGGATTGTTGTGGTAGACTTCAGCAATGGATCTACTGGTAACAGGCCAAGTGGCATCAGGTTGCTGATGGCTGCTGACTCATGGAAGTGGTCTTGCGTATGAACCCAGTTGACCTTACCTCACGGTCAGTCTTCCTTCAGACTCGCTCGTTGATAAAGTGCCGATCCGGACAGATCTTGCGTGGAACATGAGGAAAGTCTGCCGAATCTCAGCTCACAACATGCAGATTACAGATGCTTCTGCAAGAACAAGATTCAGACCCACCTCTCGGAACCTGACACAGCCCGTGTACCTTGCAAATAGCACCCCTACATCCCTACAAACCCTCTATGCCTCATAGGCCCTACGACCCCTAGCAACCCTGTAGGCCCTACATCGCCCCTATAGAAAGTCCCGAAGAAGCCCGCAAGGGTTTTTGCCATTGAAGCCATGCGTTGGCGAGGCGCCCCTGTGCCAAGCTTGGGGTTTCGGGGCCTCGGGTTTTAGGGGGGTTAGGGTTCAGGTTCAACGGTCTAGGTTCAGGCTTGACGCGGTTGCCGCAAATCCCAGACAATACTCGACTTCAAGTTTGAGAATGCCTCGGCACCTCCACAACCAATGTGTCATAAACACAAATGACGCTGATGAAAGCTTAGAAGTGGTTACATGTGGTCTGGCATTGATCCTCGAGAACATGGGTCAGGAGTCTACACGACATCGTAGACCCTCTAGACTCCAAAACCGATGCACATGCTGCGCCATCTGCCGGAGGTGATTGGCCATGGTTGTAGGTGCTCTGTCCTCGGTCTGCAGCGCAGGCTCAAAACTTCCCCCAAACCCCAGGGCTTGCCGCTCAAGGGAATGGATGGCTCGAAATTGCCTCGAAGGGTACCCAGCACGGAGGCCTTCTTCAAAGAGGAGGAGGAGCGCAACCCTGGTTAGTGAAGTTTAGGGGCCATGAACCCTACACCGCCTACAGGGCCTATAGCCTATTCCCCTTCCGGCTTCAGGATTGGGGGGGTCCAATTGGGATGCCCTGTTGGACCTTTAGTTTGGATTGGGGTTTTGGGCTTATGGTCTAGGGATACTTTTGAAGACGGACCACCAAGAGCAGCTCCTGTTTAAATGTCGTCAGTTTGGCCGTGATGTTTCGTTGTCTGCTCGGGCGTTTCTGCGAATCCCAAAGCGCAAGAGACGTGTACCAGATGCCGCAACAATCCTAAATCCCACCACATGCCGCTCCCTGATTCCGTAGAAGACATGGAACCTGCGTCCCTGGCGATGGAGGATGAAGATTTCCAGCACTGCCTCAAAGTTATGCAAGAGATGCAGGACGAGGACAGCCCAAGACGCAAAGACCCCAAACCTTTTGGGGATACTAGAACGAAAGCCCTGTTGTTCCTTCAGTGCCAAAGAAGGCGCGCCAAGGAAGAGGTGTAAATGCAGTTTGGGTCCGACGTTCTAATTTTGAAAGTCTTCGGCGTACACAGCACAGGCCAGGGTTTCTCTCCCTGCTGCGATACAGCCAACTAAGGGCTAAGAGGAAGCTTTACATGAAATCCTCAATTACTTGGGTTTAGGAGTTTAGGATTTAGGAGTACTTGTACAGTCTTGAAGGGCATCACGGCGACTTGACATTCTGCCGCATTCACCTCGTGATCTCCTCAACTTCACCGGGCTCTGTAGGCAATTGGGTATGCCCTTAGGGTTCTTAGGGGTTCCATGGGCGTATGGGAGTTAGGGTTCAGGGCTTACCTAGACCACCCCACCCTGGAGGGCATGAAGCTGCCCTCCCTTAAGATTTGCGAAAGCATCCCCCCAAAGCCCAAACTGATCTCAAAAAGGTTTTGGGTTTAGGGTTTATCGGGTTTCGGGTCTAGAGGGTTTGAGAGTTTATAGGTGCTTTGAGCTTAGGTTTCCGAAGCGAAGCTCCCAAGCAGGTACAGACGCAGACCCCTGAGAGGGACGCGCTGGCGGGCCTCTTGAGCCACTTCCAGCGGGATCAGCCGATGACATCCCTCTCCAAGCTATGGGAGGCTGTGGTCTGACAAGAAAGCGGAAAAATGCGCCCTTGTGAGGCTTAGGGTTTTGGTCAAGAGGGTTTGGTAGAGTCCTCAAATTCAAGTTGCTGCAACGCATCCCTCCGAGCCTTCAGGAGACCCGAAACACAGCGCCCTCCCGCTTTTGCGACCCAAAGTCCTAAAGGCCTAAAACCCTTCGCACCCTTCGTCCTAGCGCAGGACTGCGTCAACGAGACACACAGCCTAGCGGGTTCGGAGCCGCAGCTGCAACAGCTCTTGCAGTGTGCCGCCACGTGCTCGCGAATGAGGCTCGCCAGGGTTCACTGAGCTCGGTCTAGTTTCGGCCCTACGACCTACCTCAAAGCCCAAGCTCAAAACCCCAAAAAATTCGCCAGGGGTGTGATGATCTGGTTCGCCGGGTTGTCAGACGTTGAGATGCAGAGAAGTTTCTATATATAGCAACGCCATCAACAGTGTAAAACCAAGCCACGGGCATCCACCGCGATGCAAGTCTCCGAATGCTGCAGGCTTGCACGCTATAGGCAGCATATTCCGGTAGACCTCGCGAATCTATTGGCACTGCTGATAGGGTATCTACCACTTGGTATTGCAAGGGCATCACTGTACATCTGTATACACCAGGCCTGAGCCAACTCTAATTTGTCAATTTTCCTCCGGCGCACCAAGCCGGTTCAGAGACCCGTCCAAGAGGCCGCAGTCGTTTAGCGTTTTAGGGGTCCTGGGTTTAGGGTCAGGGTTTTAAGGTGTTTGGGCTTATGGCGTTTTAGATGTTTAGGGCTTCTAGGGCATCGATGCGGCGCAGAACGGTTCAAGCGCCCAAAGATATAGCAGCAAAGCGTGGGATGTGAGTCAACACGTTAGCAGGCTGCATAAGGAAATAAGGCCCCAAAAAAGGGGTGCCTGAGAACACGCCCCCCCATCACTTGGCGGAGTACCTTAAACCCAACCCCTAAACCCTAAACGCTCTGCAGCCCAACAGCTTTGAGCCATCCCCATCAAATGGAAATGTCTGGGGTCCACGCGGCCACGCGCCAGGCACCTGAAGTTGCGAATGGCCGCCCTGGAAGCTCCCCGGAACTTTGTTGAGTTGGGTTCTGGGTCCTCGATGCACTGGCCTTTTCGGGGATGCACAGCTTTTCGTGTGACTCGTTTCCCTTGCAGCTACGCAGGTATTTCTATTTAGCATCCCGAACAGGAACGCCAGCGGATTCTCTTAGCCACCCTCAATACTCGGGGGCCTTAAGTCTTGCAGGTTTGGCCCAGCCTCGCCGGGTCCCTGAGCAATCTCCTTGATTGCTTGGATGGCGTGTTGGACCAACTCCTGGAGACCTTGTTGGCCAACATGGCCTTGGCGGAAGAGGAGGGGGGAGAGCTGTGGGGGTAAGCCTTTTCCGGTGCCCCAAGCTTCAGGAACCTGGCCCTAAAATTCCCTAAGCCCTAAGGAAGCCCCTGCTTCAGCTGCGTCTCATGCCCTGATCTTTCTCTTCACTGACCATCGACTACTCGGCTGCCCGAAATCCCCTTGACCGCAAGGCCTATGTCAACCAACAAGAATCCCAGGACTTCCTCAAAGAGTCGCCTGAGGTGCTGGAGGACCCTGCCCTCGTTCCCTAGCTCTGGGGCTTTCCCTAAGCTGAGTGCTCAGGAGAATTACGGGCTCGGGCTTCTTTTGCCAGTGAGGCTGTTCGTTTAGAGGGTTTAAAGTTAA